CAGTCCACAGGCCGACGCTCTATCCACTGAGCCAAACCAGTTTTGGCAAATTATACACTTTAAACAAATAATTTTATGAACTAATGTTACCCCAATAAATTTAATTTTTAAGAAACCAAGTAGAGGAAAAAATAAAGACATGTACAGAGGAACAAAAATGAGCACCACAGATTTTTTTTTATCAAAACAAGAAAATAATTCAATAAAGACACTGGAGCAATATCTTCAGAGTAAAGTTTTAAAATGGCATTCAGAATCATATGATCTTTTCAATAGATGCAGTAAAGCTTCAGATAAAATATAAAATCCACTTCTGAACAAAACTCTTGGCGTATTGGGAATAGAAGATGTCTGTCTTAACTGGATAAATGGCATCTACAATAAACCTACAGCTAATATCATAGTTAATCAAGAATGTTTCCCATCTAAGGTTGGGAACAAGGCCAGGATGTCTGGTCTTATCACTTTCATTTAGCATCATGCTGAAAATCTTAGCCAGGAATATAGGGCAATCAAAATTATATCAGGCTTTTTTGAATGCATGTGTGTGAAAAATGGTAAGTCTATTATAAAATTCATATGAAAATAATTCAAAGGTTCTAAAATAGCTAAAATAACTTTGAAAAAGTTGGAGGAATAACACTACCTGATTTTGAGACATAAAGTAAAACTGTAGTAATCAAGACCTTGAGGTATTGGCATACAGATGGATAAATACATCAATGGAAGAGAATAGGTAATTCAGAAATAGATACACACATATAGAGAGAGATGAATTTCATTAAATGTACAAAAGCAATTTATCGGAGAAAAGATAGTACCTTTTAATGTCCATAAAGAAATTGATGAGATTGAGCCTATAACTTATACTATATTCACAAATTACATCAAAATGTATCATAGACCTAAATATAAAACATGAAACTATAACATTTATACAAATGTAAAACCAAAAATTGGTATAATATTTGAACAGCACTTAACTAAAAAAGATAAAGGATAGCACATGAAAAGATGCTTAAAGTCATTAGCAATTAGAGTAATGCAAGATAAAATCACCGTAAGATACCGCTACACGCATATTAGAATGACTAAAATTTAAAACTGGTCTTATGAAGTGTTGGACCGATTTTTATGATCTAGAATCCCCATATAGTGGTAGTGGAAATGTAAAATGGTGAAACCACTTGAGAAAGTGTCTTAAAAATTAAACATATTCCTATTATATGTCCAGCTATCCTACTCTTAGGTATTTATTCAAGAGAGATGCAAACATATGTCCATACACATATGTATGCACAAGTGTTTTTAACTGCTTTATTTTTAACAGCTAAAAATTAGTAACGGCCCAAATAGCCATCATAAGATGAATGTATAAACTGTGATATTTTGATATAACAAAATGCTGCCTAGCAATAAAAAAAATAACTGCTCCTAAACCCTATACCATGGATGGATCTCAAAATAACTGCTGAGTGGAACCACACAAAAGAATGCATACTGAATTGCCTATTTGTATAGAATTCTAGAAAATGAAAAACTCCCGATAGCATGGAAAGCAGGTCAGTGACTGCCTTGGCTTCGGTGGGGAGTTAAGTGATGGCTTCAGGTCATGAGAAGCTTTTTGAGGGGGTGGGTATGCTCATCATCTTGTCTGTGGTGATGACTTCATGGAGGTATACATAAATCAAAATGCAAACTTGTAGACTTTAAATATGCAGATTTTATGCTTTGTCAGTTATACCTTAATAAAGCTATTTTTAAACTTTAAAATTTCCAGCTTCTCCTGAGAAAGCTCTAGCTGCATTGCATCTGCTGGACTGTGCTGTGACAGAAGCTGTCCCTTTTCTATCAGTCAGCCGCTGTCAAGCTTGCCACAGTCCCTGTCCCTCCCCTTTGTTGCTGTTATCTTGTCTTATTCATTTACTTGACTGCCTTAGGAATTTGAATTCATGTCTAGTGATTAGTTTCTTGTCTTCTGTTAAAAAGCAAAATACGAAGTGAAACAAGCCAGTCAGAGAAAGACAAGTACCATATGATCTCACTTATACGTGGAATCTAATGCACAAAATAAACTAACAAAACAGAAACAGACTATTAGACAGAAAACAGACTGACAGCTGTCAGAGGAAGGTGGGTTGCAGGGATGGGTGAAAAAGTGAAGGGATTAAACAAAACAAACAAACAAACAAAAACCCCCCAAAACTTTTAGACACAGACAACAAAATGGTGATTATTAGAGGGAAAGTACGTGGAATCTAATGCACAAAATAAACTAACAAAACAGAAACAGACTATTAGACAGAAAACAGACTGACAGCTGTCAGAGGAAGGTGGGTTGCAGGGATGGGTGAAAAAGTGAAGGGATTAAACAAAACAAACAAACAAACAAAAACCCCCCAAAACTTTTAGACACAGACAACAAAATGGTGATTACCAGAGGGAAAGCAGGGTGGGGGGAGGTCGAAGAGAATAAAGGGGAGATCAATGGGTAAATGGTGATGAAAGGACTTGAGATGGTGAAAACACAATATGCAGAGGATGTACTATGGAATTGTACACCTGAAACCAAAGTGTTCCCAATAAATTCAATTAAAATATATTAAAACTAGGGGCCCGGTGCACAAAAATTTGTGCACTGGGGAGGGGGTTCCCTCAGCCCAGCTTGCCCCCTATCACATACTGGGAGCCCTAGGGGATGTCCTACTACCTGCTCCCTGCTCCCTTGGGGAGTGGGCCTAAGCCACAGTCTGGCCACCCTTTGTGGGAGTCGAACAGGCTGATCAGGGGAAGGCACCAGCCCCATCACCGCACTGTTGCAGCCACTGCAAGTCAACAATTGCTGGCTGGCTCCCCCCTGGTTCCCCGCCTCTGCCGCCATCAACAATCGTTGGCTGGCTCCTCCCTG